GTTTCACGGTTTGACGGCAAGAAAAGACATGCCTTTTTTTTTTATGTCCAACAGACTCGGTAGAGTAAACCTACCGTCTTCCCACGAATAGAACGCAAGGTCATTGTAGCCGTATTTGGGGCAACTTTCGGTCTTTGTGCAGCAGCAAATAATGACCGTACGTTGTATTGGCGTGACGACGATCAGGCCGATGAGAACGCACCGCGCGGCATGTGCGCGCGTCCAGCCAGGTGCAGGTCATGCTCTTGGGCCATTTGCATATCCAGGTGCATTTCGACCGGGGCTGATGTCTGGATTTTTCTTTTTTATTACGACCGGGCTACCCGTAGTTTATGCGTTTTTCAAACCCGAACGGGGGCCGTGTATGCACTTTTTCGTTTTCTAATATAGTTTTTGTCTTTTCCTCGCTGTGACGAACACCGCTGTGACGGATTCGAACTTGAAATCTGTGAGAAAGGAAGTCGTCGACCTCCTCGAATTGTGAGGAAGCGCTGAGACGATCTGGGGCTGTAAAGCATGATTGATTAGTTGACAAGGGGTTATGACCCCTCGGGCCCTGGATGGACATAGTGTGTGAAAAAAGGTTTTACCCGAAGCCTAAGAGAAGATGGAGGGGCGGCGTTGGCGGCGGCGAAGGAGGAGGAAGAGGAGAAGGAAGTGGACTAGGAAGATGTGTAGTAATAGGAGTAGCAGGAGACGGAGGAGGAAGAGGAGGAGGAGTAGGAGGAGTAGGAGGAGGAGGAGGAGGAGGAGGAGGAGGCGAGGGATATAGGTTAAATGATCTTTGCAAGACCGAGGTGAGGCCACGGTGCTCCATACGAAAAGAAGAGCGGGAAAGGTGGCTGCTCTGCATGGGAAACGATGGCTGCATTGCATCCATCGTATCCGGATTCTTTTCTCATCTTTTTGTCGTAGCGTGCATTGCATCCAGTCCCTCAATCTGTCGTCTCCTGTGTACAAAGGAAGATCCCTTGGCCCCGTTGCCTCTACTGTCTTTACCCAAATAGAACGCCCGGTCATTATAGCTCTATATATTGGGACAACTTTCAGTCCAGATGCAGCGATCATGACTGGGAGTTCTATTCGGGTGGAGACGGTAGTGCCCCACCATATCCATCGTCTCTACCTCCAGTCGTGATTAGCTTCGGGCTATAATAGGTAATCAAGACATCGGGCTTGGTCAGTCAGTCCGAACCCCCCGATCACTCAGTTTGTCTTTCCTCTGTGTGGAACGACCCCACCCCTTGGTCGGGATTCCCATAGCTTCCCCGTCTCTGTCTCACCGTTCGCGAATCGCTACCCTCCCTACACTCTTCTTCTTAACCTTTTCTCGTTGCCTTCTTTCTCCTCTTTTTTTTTTTCAAAGAGGAGAAACCTTTCAACGTTCCCAACGGGCTTGAGATATCATTATTATGGAGCTGACCGGCCCTATGTAGTTCAGAATTGTAGTCTTTTACTCATCTGCTCTCAGTAGTGGAGTTCGAACTCAGGTCTGTATTTCAACAGTTCAGGCCAGGGGAGGTGTACCAACTGAGCTGGGCCAGTTGGTGCCTGCCTTCTTCTTCTTCTCGCCTTCTCTCCTTCGGGGCTGTCCTCCCTAGGTGGGGCCTTTTCCTTACCCTCCTCCTTGACTTCGCGCCGCCATCGGTTTCACCCGATTGCTTGCCAGTAACTTCCTCATCCATTTAACCATGTGGATGGGTTTATCCTGCAATATGTGTAGACCACGTGGGCAGCCATATCTGTGCAACCACTGCTTCCTCTTTTCCACTTCATTGTTTGCAACTCATTGATGACCCTGATCTCACATCAACTGACTGACTGATTTAAATTCCTGATTAGGAATGGAACGGCCGCACTCGGCACATTCTCAGTGGCTGTCAGTAGCTTCCCCGTCCGTCTAATCCAAACCCTAGAACGTCCAGATCTAGGGTTAACCGTAGAAGATTCGGTAGCAGCCTAAACCCCTGGAGCGTAAACCCTGATGGCAAGATTGACACCAGTAACTACCGGTAGGGTTAAATCCGGGTCATGGATGACTGTGAAGCCAAACCCTAAACCCTAAATCGCCAGGTCTTGCAACTGGAACCGAGGGTTAAAGGTTAAATCCGAGTCATTGATGATGGCGAGCCAAACCTTTGCTTGTTTTGAACTATAAAGTCTCAAGGTTGAAGTCAACAGCCTAATGCCCAAACCTTGGACCGTAAACCCAAAATCCCGAATGCTGTATGCCGAACCGCTAAGTCTGCGGTATGAATGACTTGGCAGCCGTGAGCGTTCCCATAAGCTATTTCGGGGAACACCATATAACAATATATATCGTGTTCTGTCTTTTTCCGCCTTTGCGCTCCGATTGCCACTGTGACAATATATATATATATGGTTAAAGGTTGAAAGGGCTCCGTTGTCTTGAATCTCAGTTCTTACACCTGAAGTGAGGTTAAATCTGTGTCATGGATGACCGGTGGAGGCGAAACCTAAGCTGTGAACTCGTACTGTCTTAAGTTTGAAGTCAAAAGTCTAAACCCTAGACCTCATCCTGAATGCTGAATTCCAAATGCTAATCATGGGGCGACGGGTGAGTCCTATGCCGCCGCCGAAAACCCCAGTCCCTGTGAGTTAGGGCTGCGTTGTACGGAGGGGCGGCGACCGTTCGTCACCAGCGGGTCCGATCCTGCCATTTTCAAGCGACATGCCGATTTTTTGTGCTCAGAAGAATTCATGAAAATGTCTGAAAATTTGAGGGTCCGTAGATTAAGTCGTGATCTTTCAAGGAAAAATATCAGAAAAAGAAATTTTCGTTTTGATCGTGAAATATTTGCCGCGCCGATTTGGTGCATTTTTTATTTTTGCCGCAAATTCCATTTTTGAGGCCCGCCTGGTTTTCCACTCTGTACGGCCGGTACCCGTCGTGAAACGGTGCTACCGGTACCCCCGAGGTTTCTGACGTCAGGGGGACTGGTGGTTTAAGGGCTTGGTGACGTTGAGTCTCTGCATATGCGGAAGTGATTGAGGGCACCACATATGGTTAAGGTTGAAGGCACATTTGTCCATCGACGTTTTTCAACCCATGTCCTGTATCTTCGTCTTTCGGTCCGTATGAGCAGGTCGCGGCGCAGCTGGTGGGAGGGTGTGGAAACAGTTTCTATCGTGGCAGCTCGGGAGTGATCGCCGGCGCAAGAATCTGTCCCATTTTCCAAGAGAAGCCAACCCATACCCTGCCACTAAAAAGCTGGAGCAGCTTTTTGTTATTGTTTTTTCGTTTTTTTTTCCGTCACTCCCTCCTTTCCTCCGTTGATTCGCCACCCTCCCACATTATTGCACCGCGATGCCTGTAAAAGGGCCATTCTTTTCGGAGTTGTGGGATGCGATTTTCCTTTCACGGTCCAATTGGAGCGGGCCCAACTTTTCGGTTCCCACAACCACTTGTACGTCTCCCACTACCTCCAGTAGTTACGTTACCTGAAAGTTGAAGCACAATCTCCATAAGGACAGGGCAAATGAGTCTGATACTTCCTGAATAACACCCCCCCACGAACTGAACAACTTGAGAATAAATAGCAACGTAATTCGAGACACCACCAAATTAAGTGTATGCTAAGACACATACTAAAACCCTTCGAAGTAAAAATCCAGAGCAGGGTAATTAGCCATCGAAAGGGAAAT